TGGCAATAAGTACGGTAGCCTGGAAGAAAGAGAGGGGGGTGGAAGGTGTGGAAGAGTGGGGAGAGGATAAAATTGCAGCATGTTAGAGCAGACATGTACAAAGACATGACAGATGAGAAGACAAAGGTGTGGGTCTCTTGTGTGGGTCTCAAGTCAAGTCTGTTTTGTGTTTCTCCAGGAACCACCCTTAAGGCTGTCCTTAGAGTTGAAAAAAGGTTTTATGAGGAGTGAAATTAATGCCCGTGTAGTCTGCTTGAACGGAGATGTCCCATGGTATCCTAAGCAGTGGTTTGCTCAACCTGGATTTGCTGAATCACCCCCAGTTGGCTGGGCTCCCATAAACCACACTAGATGGGTTTACATGTTGCATTGGGTCGAAGCCAGACAAATCTACATGGGCTTCGCATGACGTGTGAACAGAGCACTAGGCATCATGAACAAGAGGGAAGGATGCAGCCAGGGCAAAAGGGGCTGGTTGGGGTCTTCTGTTCCTCACCTGGATCAAAGCCCTCGACACCACGGCTCAGGAGACTCCCATCCAGCTGGCAGAAATGAAGGATGTTATAAAGCACAGACACCACCATTCTCCAGACCCCTGCCAATAACCCCAGGAGCACGTTGATTGGGAAAAACATGTATGTCACAACGTAAAGGGCTCGCCTGCGTAAGAGGGAAGCAGAGACGGTCATGAGTAAAGCACACGCACTTACATACAGAACTTGCTGCAGCCATATAATAATACATTAAACCTTAAGGCAACATCAATTCCAGTTATTACTCCCCATATTTCATAATTTCCTGTTGACTTAAATATTTTAAGTTGGTGGAAACCTTTAAAGAACGTCACTGGGGTTGCATCCAAAGCTTTCAAGGGCTGTGTTTGGCCTCGTAGCCCCAACTGTACGTCTCCTGTGAGTTCCTCGGTCTTTAAGCAAATCAGTGTGCAGCCCGGTGTTCTATTGAAAGCCCAAATGAATCTGTGAAGGACCCAATGGCTGAGCTGTGTTGAAGCCAGACCAGAACTTTGCTCCTCTAGCAAAGAACCATTGGATTTTATCAGATCTGGGAACCCAGTAGCTGAAAACAAATCAGGGGAGGTGTGGTGGTCCTACCAATTATGCTTACATAACAGGACTCATCCAGTTTCTTCAGTAACTGAACCACAGGCTAACCAGCAGCCTGACTTCTCATAACCTGCTAAGTCACAAAAAAAGTTAACCACGGGTAGTATGTTGTGGAAATGCAGTTGATATCTTTGGAGCTAGGCTGAGTATAAGCAGGTTGTGGGAATAATCCAGCTTGTCCCACCAAGACAAACATTTTCCTGATGTAGTTACAAAAAAGGCAAATGCGATCCTAGGTTGCGTCAACAGAAATATAACGTCAGGATGAAGGGAACTTATTGTTCTCCATTTTATGATAAGCGGTCTGGAAGAAAAAATTTAGGAGGGATAGTTAGAGGCATTAAGTGTATTTAGCTTGGAAAAGAGACAATTGTAATGAGACTTGATATCTGTCTTCAAGTATCTGAATGGATGAAGGTAGAAAATGGGCCAAACTGTTCAGAGCTGGTCCAGAAGATAGGACCCAAAAGAAGGGCCTTACATTACAAGGATGTAAATTTTGGTTGGACATCAGAAGAATTTGTGAATGGTATGAACTGTTCAACAATGGAACAAGTGACTCAGGAGATGGTGGACTCTGTTGGTTGGAGCTGTATAAAGAGAGGCTGGATGGCCATCTATCAAGGAAGTTGTAGTATGGCATGGAGGGGATTAGAGCAGATGATCTGCAAGATCTTTTCCAACTCTTCTTTTCTGTTGTTCTTAAATGTGGCATATGTCCCAAAAAGTTTAGAAACACCTATCAGCCACATAGGTGGGCAGATGTTGCCAGTCTGAGTGGGCAGTTCTGGACTTGGTCATCAGGCTAGTCCAACATGGGCATAATTGATGCCTTTCCCCCCCATTCTTTTATTATCCTTTGATGCAGAATTCCAGCACTGGGTAGGGATTTCAGCTGGATGATCACCAGAGTTCTTTTCAACTTTGATATTCTATGATGGATGGTTTTCAATAATCACCTGTTGGTCAGCTCTCTGGGAAGATGGTCCCGCTCCAGAAAGTAGTAATGAGCCAGCAGGTTCTGGGCAATCACTGAAACTCCCAAGGTCAACCAGAAGGGCCTAGACAAAACCAAAATCATCCAACCAGATGAATGAATGTCCAATTTTGCTTAAAGTACATTTGCACTGCAAGCAACCATTTGGAGATGCAGTAGTTATTCTAATCATCACATTAGGAGCTAATGTAATGTTGGGGAAATGGGAAATGATTGCTGTCTTAAGTCTGCAGCTACATAAAGAAACATTACAGAAATACAGCTAAGCTTGGTAGTCTTTAGTTCAGGAAGAGATGGGTGGATAGTTCAATAGATAGGTTGGGACCTCTTAAATTTCATAGGAGCCTGGTTGGCAGATGGATCATGTTACTTCCAAAACTTGATCCCGTGGAACACTTACCACATGTTCGCCACAATTTTGAAAAGATGCATATTGGTGCCTGACTGCAGTGGGACAGCTATCAGGAAAGTGAAACTCACGATGCAAATGAAGAAGACAACGTGTTGGATGAGCAGAGCTAGGATAGAGACAAAAATGCCCACTGGGTTGCAAGGAAGATCACAGATGGAAATCAGTTCTGACATTTGAGCCACCATCACCTCTTCCCACCTGTACCTTTTCATTCTTTGGCCCAATTTGGAGGATTGCCCAGAAGGTGGAGTATGAGGCCAGGTAAACAGTAAAGACTCCCTCAAGTCAAGCTTGACTCCTGGTGACCATAAGGACATGTCCATGCAGTTTTCTTGGCAATGGTATGGATGTAGTTTGTCAACTTCTCAATCTAACTTATGATCCTGAGATTTCCTAGGAGTCTTCTAACCAAGGGCTAACCAGGGTTAACCAGGCTTTGTTTCTTAGTCTGGACTTGCTACTCCACCTTCTTGCATGATTGGATAAGATACCAGATAATTCTTCCCCTGTAACATCCTGCCTTAATAATAATGAACTTATTCTCCCCAAATCCTCAGGTAGTCAAAGTGGGGCCAACCACACACAAAGAACCTTAAGATTTGTGGAATTAGTAGCCCCTTTAGAAAACTCCAAGTAGGGAGTAGATGAGGAAGGGCTTAAAAAGAGAAGGACTGAGCTCAATGCTCAATGGGCACAGGATGCCGGCTGGGAGTAGTAAGGGAAAGGAATGGACTCGAGTACCTGGGAAAAAGGGCATGGCAGGCAGTAGTTCTACCTGTCCTTCTCTCAGCCCTTTGAGGTAGGTATGGTCAGGAAACAGGAGTCACTAGGACTCTTGGCATGGACTTTTATGGGTTGAGGGTTCTATAACAGAAACTTGAAAGTCTGCCAAAACCTCTCTTTACTTCAACTTATACCTAACCAATCAAGGTAGAGTTGTTCTAAGTTTCTTTCTCAAGGTTTTTACTTTCCCAGGACTCAGATATCTTTTTTCTAATGGCTCAACATTCTTCTGATATTCTATCACATCCCCATCGCAACTTTTCCTTGCAAAACTCATGAGTTCATTGCTTAGCCGTTCTCCTTTTTTAACCAGCCCCTTTGAAATCTTGCTTCCCTTTACTCCCGCCCACCAAGGTGTGATTAGTGCTCCTCAGTTACCTAGGCAGGCAAAGGATATCTGGAAACCCGCAAAATACATCCAGCATATGAGAGACTGCTGGGAAGGCTGGAGTTTACAGGAACGATAAAAAACATTTTTAACCGCCCCTCGGTAGAGACACTGGAGATTAGTCCTGAAACACAGGAAGAACATGTGATCAAGTGAAATATGATAAAATGGTCCTTAACAGAAGGAGGAGGAGGAGGAGGAGGAACAGGAACAACAGTTCTCCAATCCTTGTTTTAAGAGTCATCT